TCTCCTCCCTCTCCCCTTTATCTGTCTGTCTGTCTCTCTCTCTGTCTCTCTCTCTGTCTGTTAGTCTCTCTCTCTTCCTCTCTCTCTCTCCCCCCCCCTCTCTCTCTTGCCGTCTTATTCGGTATTGTAGGAGGTAGAAGCAGAATCAGAGGTCCCGCCTCTGAAGTGACCTTTATCGTATTGAAATGAATGGGTATTGCAATCTACCGTATACCCAGAGCCGTTCATGTTGTACCTTAAACTTTGAGTAGTGTAATATCCTTTACAGCCAGAAGAAGAACATTCAGACAAATCAGAACCTATATAATTTTTCCGTTTCTTACAAAACGAGGAGACGAGCCTTACCTCATTGAGGACTCTCAGTCTGGTCTTTCGACAACGCTTGTTTTTGGGGGAACTTTAAAAAAGAATTATAACTTCGTTATTCCCACACATATTTCAGTTCTGTTTTCTTTACATGAAACTTAAGAAAAAGCAAGCAGAAACGTGTGCAAGGTGACTTAGTCCCTTCATATATATGTGACGACCCGTTCTTTGATGTACTTAGTGTGTCACTGACAGTTACAATGCAACATAAACAAACAAAAAGAAAAGAGCGACCTGTATCTCCTCCAACAACCTCATCGGTCTCATAAACATAGTTAACTCTTTAAGGATGTTGAAGACACATAGGTCCGATCAGCAGCAGCTCAAAGGCAATGTGGAAAAACTGTCGGAACAATTATACATAAAATTCTTATCAGAAACACGGATTTGTATATTTAATCGACCGAATGCAGTTGACTGCCTTTTGAAAGTTTCATATAAGCAAACAGAATTGAAACATCTCTTATGAATAACTAAAGTATGCTTCTTTCTTTAGAGTGTCCCAAAACCGTGCGCCTTCGAATGACCGTAATGCACGCTTTCTATGAAATAAAAGGTTGTTTACATCCTGAGATGGCACAGTAGTGGAGGCAAGCAACGTCTGAGAAGTTCTTCAGCTGTTTCATCTCTTTGAAAAAAATCTTCTTGTAAATTAGCGATACACATCAAATATGTTCACTTGGGTCTCTTTGGAACCCCTAACTCGTTTATAATTAAGTAATACTCAGCTTAATAGGGGGAGACGCAAGTTTGATATTATAATTGGAACCCATTAATTGTATGATAATCTAAAAACAATTTAAAAAAAAAAACCATTCAGGAACATCTATGACTTTAGGCCGTCTTTCTTGGGTTACACATCGATATGCATTTATGAACCAAGGTAATCTGTGTGTTATCATTTTCAAAGACGTTTCTAATCAGTAGTCTCGTCTCCAAAATAAATATATGCTAGTTTATAACAGTACTTGATTTGGGATAGACAACAACAATCAAAATAAAAGATTACATTTCAACCACACAAGCGATGATAATATTTCAATGCTGCTTCAACCTTGGGTAGAAACTGATAACCCTGAGACAGCAGAACATTAGACGGTTTGAACTAAGAATAAAACTAATTGAAACCGCTGATCAGGGGACAATATTATATTTCTTACAGTTTGACTTGTGAATATGTTTTAAGTGCATTTATGTTCTTGTGAGCTTGTGTTTTTTTTGTTGCAGGCAGGCTTGGTAGTGTAAAGGCTGCTTTGTGACTTTTAATACAATGGTTCGGGAATTTTCCGCAAGGAGTAGAGTCTGCAATTATTCATTGTTATTATTATATACCGATAATTTACACATCAACAGATTGGTTGTTTAAGCATGTTATATTATTACGAAAGATGAATTGGCCAAGTTGCACTTTCAATTAGTGATTACGGCTTTTTCAAGAGTGAAATGAATTATTTGCACCTAACAATAAGTATTGAAACCCCCCCCCCCCCCCCCTCCACCCAAAAAAATCCTTTGAATGTGCTGGTGAATTTTGAGAGTGACCTAGAACTACGTAGTTTAGAATGCTTATCTTTTCAAGCTGTCCCAACAACTCTAGGACACGTCAGTAAATTATTTACAGAATAACCCACTCCTCTTTCAGGTGT